CAGCCCATGCCCCCGAAGGCCTCGCTGGAGATCGAGTACCAGGTGAGCGCGGCGCGCGCCGGCCTCCCCTCAGCCCCGCGGCGCGGCGCCGCCGCTCCGGGCTGGAAACTTCGCGTGGACGCGGGACAGGAGCGGCGGGGGCCGCCGGCCGCGCGCAGGCGTGAGGCTCGGCCGGGCCGGGCCGGGCCGGGCCGGGGATCCCGGGTTGGGCGGGGCCGGATCCGCAACTGCGCCTTGCCCCTTCCTCCGGTCGGAAGGCGGCCAGGGCTCGCGACGTCTTTGTTTCGTGATTCGCCCGTCGCTCTCGCGGCCAGCACGCGCCCGATGCCGAGAATTTCACAGTCCGGGACTGGGACACGTTCCTGTTCATCATTGGACGGGGTGATGACACTTGCGTCCCCGCAGCCACTTTCTCCCAATTCCCGTATTCTGGATCTTCGCTTCAGTTAGGGAGTATGCATTGTGACCATGTGACAATTTCACTAAGCTCGACTTCGAAATATTTTGAAAGCGGCTGTTGCTGTATGCAGTAGTATGTTTCCGTTTTAGTTCTGTCAAATCAAATAAGATCGACTCTTATATTAAAACTGTATAACGTTTCTTTCCTTGAGCTTTGTAAGCATTTCCCACTTGTCCTTCTTTTCTTTTTAGCGTCTGCATAATACTCTTACAGGGAGTTGCCTTATTTTATTTGGTCATTCTTGGAGGGGGTCATTTCTTAGGAGAAATCCTGGTGATTCTACCCATACAATTTCCATGTTTTCAAGTAGCAGTGCAAAAAAGATACATTGATGTGTTTCATCCTTCCATTTTTTTTTACGCTACTTTTTAATCAAATGGTAACTTTTGTACCATTTTGTACCAACTTTTGTACCAAAAGTTGATGTACTGTTTTTGGGGTTGTTTTTTTTTTTTTTGAGTTGGAGTCTCACTCCAGTGCAGTGGTTCACGGCCACCGCTGCCTTGACCTGCAGGGCTCAGGCGGTCCTTCCACCTCAGCCTTCCAAGTAGCTGGAACCACAGGTGTTCGCAACCACACTCGGTTAACTTTTTTGATTTGTTGTAGAGATGAGGGCTCGCTAAGTTGCCCTGACTGATCCTGAAACCCTTGATCTCAGGCAATCCTCTCACCTCCGCCTCTCAAAGTGCTGGGATTACAGGCGTGAGTCACCGTGCCAGTGGAGAATTTTTTTAAAACACCAGATACTGACATATACAGAGCAAAATTAAAGTTACATAGAATGTTTTATCTAAAGCAATTTTAGGATTAGGTTATCTATAGATGCATAAGGTAAGTGCAGAGAGTAAAGTGCCTAAAGTCGTCACATAGTTAGCAAAACTGAGGCTAGAACTCAACATTTCTTGATTTCCAGTAAAGTTTGATAGTTCAGCATTTACTAAACAGATATTTGTGCCAAGAATTGTGCATGAGGGAGGATGACAAATTAAAGAATCCCTCTTCTCAAGGAGCTTAGTAAGGGTTACTGGCTCATGAACAGGTAATTCCAATAAAGACGATTAAGTGCTAGTAAAGGAGCATCTATGAGTTTTAAAGAGGATTTCTGGAAAAAAAAAATTTGATCTAGAAAGATGCTTAAGTGAGACAGAAATGTGAGAAACAAAGGGGCATTTCAGGAAAAGCAACAAAATGAATAGACACGTAGTTCTGAAATGCATAGTGTGTTTGGGAATGGGTAGTGTGTAGTGGACACTACAAGTACTGAGTTTTTTCTTAAATTTTAAGACTGTAAAGTCTAGGGTAGGAGTAGCAGAGAAGGGGATTAGGGAGGCCAGGAGGCTTGGGTCTCATGAAGCATGAATCGTAGTAGCCTTGTGTGCCATTCTAAGTAGCTTTTCTCTTATTTTGTACAAGTTCGTTTAAGATATAAGCAGTTTACTCAAAGTGTGGAAGATGCATTTATGGAGAGCTAAATTAGAGGTAAGGAAAACCAACTAGAGGCAAAATTAGTGAAATAGTCTAGATAAGAAAATAATTTGTATTAATTTAAAATTCCTCAATACATATCCACATACTAGGGAAGAAATCTATTTTAACTACTGACCTGATAGTTAAGAGCTCCCACCTTTGCCTGGGTTGAAATCTTGACTCTGCCACTTAAAACTTGTGAAATCTTCTTACTTGTAAAATAGAGATAATAATTAGAACTACCTCAGAGTTGATTTGAAAAAAATGAGTTAATGCCCATATTCAGTGCAATGTGATCTATTAAAAAATACTCATAGGCCATCCCCGATACATGGTAAATCTTCAAGAAATTTGGTCTTACATTTATGCCTCAACAGTTGTACAGCTGGTGTGGTTTAGCTTTATACTTTGCATCTCTGGTCAGTCTTAAAGGGACTGTTCCTCCAAATCACTCTCCATTGATTAGTTTTGATTAAGGAAAGAGGTAAAGTCATTTAATATCTGTAATCCTAGATAATGTTGGAGGGATTTGTAGGGTAAAGATTACTTCCTCACCTTTTGTTTGTATTTTCCAACTTGTTTAATTTCCTAGTAACTACAACCTACTGATTTTTGTCTAAAAGTTTGTTTTTAAAATCCAGCATTGCCCTTGGTTACCGTGACATACTGAATTTTTTTTTTTTTTTTTTTTTTTAAGTCAGGGTCTCTTACTTTGTTACCCAGGCTGGAGTATGGCACTATCATAGCTCATCAGCCATGACCTCCTGTACTCAGGCCATCCTTCTGTCTCAGCCTCCCAAGTAGCTGGGACAACAGGCATGGGCCACCACACCAAACCAATTTTTTTATTTTTTGTAGAGGTCTTGCTGTGTTGCCTAAGCTGGTCTTGAACTCCCAGACCCAAGCAATTCCTCCTTGGCCACCCAAAGTGCTGGGATTACAGGTGTGAGCCACCATGCCCAGCCTGAAAACTATTAATCATTTCTTTTTGTGTTTTAGGAGAATCATTTTTGGATAATTGACTAACCTCACATTATATTGATGTCCTGAAAATTTCAGTACCAATACAAGAATGAATAAGATCCTTTACTTAGAAATGTAGATCATTATTGAGTGCTTAATATTTGTCAGCATTATCTAAAGTGCTAGAGATGCAATGGTGAGTAAAAATATAGTCAGTGTTCTCATACAATCAAGTATGGGGACAGACAATAATTAAATTACACAAATAAATACATGTACAATTATACCTCTCAGAACTGCTGTGAAGGTAAATGCATAAGGCTGTGTGTTCAGTTAGGAGGACTTGATTTTATCTGGAAATTGAGAAATGCCATCCAGAAGTAGAGTTCAGCTCTGTAGAATAATCAGGCTTTCACTAGGCATAAGAGGGTGAGTGGAACAAGACAGTGGGTAAAAAGAATAGTATGTATTGAGGTGCTGAGGAAGATAGAAGGATACCTTTAAGGACCTGAAAGACAGGAGTATGGATGGGGAAAAGTGGTATAAGTCTATTTACCCCGTTTCCCCTGAGCACTGAGCCTCTGGCAACCACCTATCTTTTTTACTTATTTCTGTGATTTCTGTTCTGTTGATCTATTTGTCATTTCTTTCCCCAGTACCACACTGTCTTGATTACTGTAACTTGTCTTGATTATCATAACTATACTAAGTCTTGAAGTCAGGTATCCTCTAATTTTGTTCTTCAATATCGTGTTGGCTATTCTGAGTCTTTTTGTCTTTTTATATAAATTTTAGAATCAGTTTGTCGATATCCACAAGGCAGTTTGCTGGGATTCTGTTTGGGACTGCACTGAATCTATAGATCAAGTTGGGAATAATTGATATCTTAACAATATTGAGTCTTCCTGTCCAGTGACATGGTGTATCGCTTCATTTATTTAGATCTTTGATTTCTTTTATCAGTATTTTGTTTTCTTGTATAGCTCTTGTACATATTTTGGTAGATTTATACTAAGAGGTTTTTTTCTTTTTTTCTTTTCCTTTTAGTGCTAATGTAGATTTCTGTTTTTTTAATTTTCAGCTCCAGTTGCTCATTGCTGGCATGTAGGAAAACTGTTGACTTGAGTATATGAACATTATATCCTGAGACTTGGCTATAATCACTTAGTAGTTCCAGGAGGGTTTTGTTGGCAATGTGGGGGAATTTTTACATGGACAATCATGTCATCTATGAACAAAGACAGTTTTATTTCTTCTTTCCCAATTTGTATATCTTTTATTTCATTTTCTTTTTGTATTATGTTAGCTAAGGCTTCCAGTATGGTTTTAATAGGAATATTGAGAGAGGAGCATCCTTGCTTTGTTTCTGATTTTAGAGAGAAAACTTTTAATTTCTTGCCATTAAGTGTAATCTTAACTGTAAGATTTTTGTAGATGCTCTTCATTAAATTGAGTGAGTTCCCCTCTATTCTTTGTTTGCTAAGTTTTTTTAATATCATGAATCAATAATGGATTTTATCAAATGTTATTTCTGCATCCTTTGGTGTGGTCATCTAATTTTTCTTCCTTAGCTTGTTGATGTAATGAATTACTGTGATTAATTTTTGAATGTTGAATCAGCCTTACACACTTGGAATAAATCCATTTGGTCATGATTGTAATTTATTTTTTACATTGTTGAATTACATTTGCTAATATTTTGTTGAAGATATTGGCATCAATGCTCATGAGAGATATTGGTCTGTAGTTTTCCTTTCTTAGAAAGTTCTTTCTGGTTTAAGTATTAAAGTAATGTTGACCTCATGAGTCAAGAATTATTCCTTCAGCTTTTATTTTCTGAAAGAGAATATAAAAAATTGGTATCATATTGTCCATAAATGTTTGGGAGTATTCACCATTGAAACCATGTGGTCCTGTCCTTTTCTTTTTAGAGATTATCAATTATTGATTCAATTTATTTGATAGATATAGGCCTATTCAGATTATCTATTTCTCCTTGCATGAGTTTGGTAGTTTGTGTGTTTTGAGAGTTCTATTACAACTAAGTTATCAAAGTTATGGGTATAGATTAATAAAAATATTCCACTATTATCCTTAGATTCATCAGTGATGACCCATTTTTCATTTCTGATATTAGTAATTTGTATCTTTTTTTTTTTTTTTCTTGGTTTGCTTGGCTAGAGCTTAACCAGTTTTATTGACTTTTTTTTTTTTTTTTTGAGTTGGAGTCTCACTCTGGCACCCAGGCTGAAGTGCAGTGCATTGCTCATAGCCACCGCAGCCTCGACCTGTAGGGTTCAGGTCATACTTCCACTTAGTCTCCCAAGTTGCTGGAACCACAGGCATGTGCCACCATGCCCAGATGATTTTTTGATTTATTGTAGAGACAAGGTCTCACCATGTTGTTCAGGCTGGTCTCCAACCCCTGAGCTCAAGTAAGCCTCTCTCCTCCATGTCCCAAAGTGCTGGGATTAGAGGCATGAGCCACTGTGTCCAGCTATTGACTTTTTTTTCCAGGAGCCATGTTTTTGTTTCATTTTTCTCTGTTGATCGCCTTTTATCAATTTCATTTATTTCTGCTCTAATTTTTTTTTCTGCTGCTTAGTTTAGGCTTATTTTACTTTTCTTTCTCCAGTTTTCTAAGATGGATGCTTAGATTATTGATTTTAGATCTTTTTTCTTCTAATGTATGCATTCAGTGTTACAAATTTCCCTCTAAGCACTGATTTCTCTGCATCCCACAAATTTCTGTTAGATCGCATTTTCATTTTGTTCAATTTTTTAAAAATTTATCTTGCGACTTCTTTGTCCTGTGAGGTATTTATAAATATGTTGTTTAATCTCCAAATATTTTGGGATTTTTCCAGCTATTTATCTGTTACTGATTTGCAGCTTAATTCCATTGCAGTCTGAGAGCATAAGTCAGGGTTTCATGGCCCAGAATGTGGTCTATGTTGGCGAATGTTCCATGTGAGCTTGAGAAAAATGTGTATTCTGCCATTGTTGTATCAAGTAATCCTCAGAAGTCAGTTAGATCCAGTTGATTGATGCTGCTGTTCAGTTCAACGATATCTTTACTGACCTGCTGGATCTGCCAGTTACTGATAGAGGGATGTTGAAACATTACTATAATAATGGTTTTGTCTGTTCCTTGTAATTTTCTCAGTTTTTGCCTCACACATTTTGATACATTGTTGTTAGGTGTGAACATATTAAGGATTGTTATGTCTTGGAAAGTTGACCCATTTATTATAGTTAATTCCCCTATTTATTTATTTATTTAGAGTTGGATCTCACTCTGTTGTCGAGGCTGGAGTACAGTGGCACAATCATGGCTCACTGCAGCTTCGACCTCCTGGGCTCAGGAGATTCTTCCACCTAAATTTCCCAAGTAGCTGGGACTATAGGTGCACACCACCGTGCCCAGCTAATTTTTGTTTGCTTTTTGTAGAGATAAGGTCTGACTATGTTGTCCAGGCTAGTCTCAAACTCCTGGGCTCAAGCGATTCTCCCACCTTGGCCTACCAAAGTACTGGGATCACAGGCATGAGTCACCACACCCAGTTAGTAATCTCTCTCTTTATCCCTGATAATTTTCCTTGTTCTGAAGTCTGCCTTGTCTGAAAGCAATATAGGTACTCCAGATTTCTTTTGATTAGTGTTAGCATGGTATATCTTTCTCCATCCATTTACGTTTACTGTGTCTATATTTAAAGTGGGTTCTTGTAGACAGATATAGTTGGGTCTCATTTTGTTATATACTCTGACAGTTATGTCTTTTAATTGGCATATTTAGACCATTCACAAAGTGCTTATTGATGCTGTTGGGATTACCATGTTTGTAACTCCTTTGTATTTATTGTACTTGTTCTTTTTTCAATTTTCCCATCTTTTTCTCCTTTCTCTGACTTTTACTGAGCATTTTATATAATTCTACTTTATTTTACTTTCATTTCTTTCCTGATACTTCCCTTTCTTTATGAAGATAAATCATTTGAAGATCATTAGTTATTGATACCAAATTTGTGACTTAAAATAACATTTTCTAGCTCTAGTTTTTATGGGTCAGGAATCTGGCCACTGCTTGACTGGGTCTTCTGCCCAGGATGTCTCACAGAGCTGCAGTCACTTAGATTCAGCTGAGAAAGCTTGCTTATGGTTGTTGACAGGCTTCATTTCTCACAGGTTGTTGGACCAAGGCTTCAGTGTGTGACAAGCTGTTGGCCAGAGGCCTTCCATGTTTCTTGTCACATGCGTCTCTTCATAAAGCATCTTACAATTTTGCTCCATCAGGTTGAGTGAGAAGGCAAGAGAGAGTACAGCAAGAGAGAACGAGCTAGCTAAATGGAAGTTACAATCTTGTATAAGCCTGTCAAGGAAGTAATGTCCATCACTTTTGCCATATTATATCTTTACACAAGGGTATGAATCCCAGAAAGGCAGAAATCATTAGGGGTCATGTCAGAAGGTGCCCATCAAACCCATGCTTAGCAGGGCCATGTCCAATGTGAATCCTGTATGGTTAGGTTGATGATATCAGAAAAGCTTTACATTCACTCCTCCCAGGCATTCCGTAATGGGGGACTACTTTTTATATTAATTTTTCTGCTTGAGTCTCTGAATATGTGGGTGGTAAAAATGTGAACAGCAAATATGTTTGATGAATAAGCCTGTAGATGAACTTATCTGACAAGTTTATATTATTTTTTCATATATGACTTGAGACCAAGATGGACAAGCTTTCTTGTGGTCTCTAGGTACTGGTGGACTTTTTAAATTTTGTTTCACTCTTTTACTGAAGGTATGACCCTTCAAAGATCCTAGGTTTATGCATAGTTCTCAGTTTCTGCTCGCTACATAATTCAGACCGAAAGCCTCATCCTCTGTCCTCATGGGGATTAAATACCAAACCCCTAAGTTAACTGTGATAAGTTAACCCCCTCCACAAACTTCCACTTACCACTGTAGTTTTCATGTCTTTACTTTTCCCCCCTGGCTATGAAGTTAAAGTATCGTTTCAAAATATAAACCAACATTCCCAGGGGTTTTATAGTGGGAGGGTTTTCTGGCTATCTGTGTATTATATTGCCAAATTGGATGTTCCTTAATGTTTAAACATCTATTTTCTCATCATCAAAATTAATATTTTCTCTTAACCAACCAAACTTGTAACAGTTTTACTACTGTCCCCATCATGTACCATTGAAATCATCTGGAAGTTGAGTTTAACATTATGGTACTATTTTTTATTGTATATATTTTATATTTTTTAAGCATATTTTATGATTTTTAAATCAAGCTTTTTAGTCTTAAAAATCATTTTTATTAAGCCTGATAACCACTACCAATAATTGCATTTTAATTTTGTTTTACTGAAATCTTTCCTTATTACCTTTGTTATGAAGTAGGGTACGAGAGCTTAAATCACAGACATCGACACAAAGCTATAAGTAACAAAGGAGAGGTTTATTAGCCAGATTCAGCCATGGCCGGTGGCCACTTGCTTGATAATGAATTCCAAAGCAAGGGCAGCCAGCTGCAACACAGGGCTGCCTTAAGTAGTTTAGACTTACATTCTAGTGGGCTAAAGATAGAACTTGGGATGTTCTGGGGGCTCTTATCACATTCATCTGCTAGCGTCGGAAAGCAAGCAATTTTACAGAAGCAGATATAGCCAGTTATGCAGGTGCAGTGGATAAGGGTGTTAATAATTTAGTGATGTTTTCAAAACAGTTTTCAGGAAGGGAGTGAAGGGAGTGAAGTCTGTGAAGCCTACTCCAAGATCGAAGCTGCTTCTTTGTTCTCCCCTTACATTCCCTTCTTTGTTCCCTCTTACAGTTACATTGATTGTTTTTGGATTTAATAGATATATTTTTTAGAGGATATCCTTGAGGAGAATGTTTTGAATGCTTAGATATCTGAAAACAGCTTTTTTTTTTTTTTTGAGTTGGAGTCTCTGTCACCAAGGCTGGACTACAGTGGCATGTTCACAGCCACCGCAGCCTCAACCTGCTGGGCTCAGGCAGTCCTTCCCCTCAGCGTGTGCCACCACACCCAGCTAATTTTTTTTTTTTTTTAATTTACTGTAGAGATGGGCTCTCATCAAGTTGCCCAGGCTGGTCTCAAACCCATGGGCTCAGGCAGTCCTCTCACCTCAGCCTCCCAAAGTACTGGGATTATAGGCATGAGCCACCACACCAGGCCTGCAAATAGCTTTATTTATTTTTTAAAATTTTTATTTTAGAGAAAAGGTCTCACTGTATTGCCCAGCTGGAGTGTAGTGACCATTTACAGGGACTATCATTGCACACTATGGCTTCAATCTCCAAGCCCAAAGTGATCCTCCTGCCTTTCGAGATCTTTCCATTCCTTTCTAGCCCAAACATGACTTAGTTTGATTTCTTTTCCCTCTAGGTTTAGAAAGAAAATATTTATATCCTATTACCTACATTATGTAATTTTTATTTTCAGAATCTGTAATATATGTTTTTATCTTGTGTCTTCTTCTACAGGTTTTAGATGGAGCAGGATTAGATATTGATTTCCATCTTGCCTCTCCAGAAGGCAAAACATTAGTTTTTGAACAAAGAAAATCAGATGGAGTTCACACGTAAGTAATCTCTGTTTTAGTTGACTTCCTTTGGACAAGTAATACTGTTGGGCTATCTGAAGAGCAGGTACATTTACCACACTTGACACTAAATATCAGTATTCGGTAATTTCATATGATTTTAAACAGCCCGTGATAGTGGGTCATCTCACAAATGAAAACATCTTCCATTACCCTTTTTCTGTTTAGGCATTTTGTTTTGATCCTGACTAAATTTTTTCTTTGCTTTGGTTAATAAATTAGCATTCCCTAGGTACTGCATTTAATCTACTGTGGCATTTTAAGCCTGCCTTTCTGATTAGCACAAGCTTTCCATTTTAATTAAAAGCCATTGTTCCAGGCATGTGTCTTAATTGCTGGATATATTATCTTTATCCATAGTTTTCTTTCTTAAAACAACAGTACAATATATTTTTGTGTGATGTATATATCAATTTTTATTTTTTTACTCAGACTTCATTCTTTTTAGATAATTAGAAGTCCTGAAAGTAAAAGATCTGACCATAGGAAACTATATATGTCATAACTTTTTGAGTTCAGAGTTTGGCAAAAGACCATGTATACTTTTCTGACGTCTCACTTCACTCTTTTAATCTCACTGACGTGTTTCCCTGTTCCATTATGTTATTTTTTTGTAGCATTTTCTTAGTCAACATTTTTATTGTGTTAAAACTGAACTGTGAATTTATAAGAAGAGGAAGAACAAATATGGCGTATCTAATATTTGCCATAAACAAGGCTTGGCATGTTATATGCTTCTAAGCTAATCTTTTCAACCTACTATGAGATAGAGTCTTTAATTTGCAATTCCCATTTAACACTCAGGGAGGCTCAGATAAGTCAGGTAAGTCTGAAGGGGTACACATGAAAGGTAGAGACAGGATGGACCCAAACTCTTTGTTTTCTACTGTATGATACTTAGACCATCCCTGACATATAGCACACTTGTAAGTATTAGCCATTATTTTTTTTATTATTATTTATTTATTTTTGAGTTGGAGTCTTACTCTGTCACCCAGGCTGGAATGCAATTGCATGATCACCAATACCACAGCCTTGTCCTGCTGGGCTCAGGTGATCCTTCTGCTTCATTCTCCCAAGTAGCTGGAACTACAGGCCTGTGTCACCACGCCCAGCTAAGTTTTTAAAAATTTATTGTAGAGACAAGGTCTCACCAAGTTTCCCAGGCTGGTCTCGAACCCCTGGGCTCAGGCAATTCTCTCACCTCTGCCTCCCAAAGTTTGTGAGCCAATGTGCCCTGCCAGTATTAACTATTATTAAAATCACTGATCTTATTAATTTAAGTGCCTGGCACATAATTGATTTTCAGTAAATACTGAATACATGTATGAATAAATGAGAGAGAAAAAAAGTCTCAACCATAATTTTCTAAGGTACTCATTTTAAAACCTTTTTTTTTATTTTTTCTAAGTTGGAGTTTTGCTCTATTGCCCAGGCTAGAGTGCAGTGGCATGCTCACAGACACCACAACCTCGACCTGCTGGACTCAGGCGCTCCTTCTGCCTCAGCCTTCCAAGTAGTTGGAACTACCGGTGTGCGCCACCACACCCTGCTAATTTTTTGATTTATTGTAGAGATGAGGTCTCACCAAGTTGCCCAGGCTGGTCTCAAACCTCTGGGCTCAGGCAATCCTCTCACCTCTACCTCCCAAAGTGCTGGGATTAAAGCCATGAGCCATCCAGCTTTAAAAAGCTTTTTAAAATAGCATTTTACCTATAGAGAACTCAGAAAATATTTGTATAAACCATTAATAAATAAATAAACAGTAGTATTAAAAGTCAGTTTAGGCTGGGCTCGGTGGCTCAGCATGTAATCCCAGCACTTTGGGAGGCCAAGGCGAGTGGATTGCCTGAGCCCGCAGGTTCGAGACCAGCCCAGGCAACTTGGCAAGACCTCGTCTCTGCAATAAATCAAAAAAAAAAAAAAAAAAAAATAGCTGGGCATGGTAGAGTGCACCTGTAGTTCCAGCTACTTGGAAGGCTGAGGCGGAAGGATCACTGGAGCCCAGCAAGTTGATACTGGGATGGCTGTGAGTGTGCCACTGCACTCCAGCCTGGGCAAGGGAGTAAGACTCCAACTCAAAAAAAAAAAAAGAACCGGGCTCGGTGGCTCAGCCTGTAATCCCGCGCCTTTGGGAGGCTGAGGTGAGTGGATTGCCTGAGCCCGCGGGTTCGAGACCTGCCTGGGCAACGAGACCTCATCTCTACAATAAATCAAAAAATCAGCCGGGTGTAGTAGCGCATGTCTGTAATTCCGGCTACTTGGAAGGCTGGGGCGGAAGGATTGCCGGAGCCCAGCAGGTCGAGGCTGCGGTGGCCGGGAGCGGCCACTGCACTCCAGTCTGGGCGACAGAGTGAGACTCCAACTCAAAAAAAAAAAAAAAAAAGTCCATTTAGATTGATATACTTAGAATTATCTGTTTTCTCTTTGCTAGGTGGATAACTTAAAAATGTAGTTCTTTAAGTTTCAGAATTTTAAAATGTACAACATTTTTCTCTGCCTTTGTTTCTCCCCAACTATTTGCTCCCTTTTAGCAGATAAATTAAATGTTAGGAGACAAGGTATCTTGTTGCTTTCTTGCATAGAATTACCTCTCATTAAACCATGGGAGAAAAGGATTGAGTGTATAATAGTCCACCTTATACATTGTTCTAGTCAGTTTTCATGAACTAATTTTTTTTATTCTATACCACAATCCTATCAGGTATATAATATTATAATTTTACTGATGAGAAAATTGAGTCATTGAACTGTTAAGTAAGTTGAAGATTACATAGCAAAGCTGGGAGCTACACCCAGGCAATCCAACTCACTTTTAATCACTATACCAAATTTACAAATCTACTTTCTAAAAATCGGATTCAAACAAAAACTTTTTAGCTATATTAATTTTGTAAAAGCAACTAAAATCTCAACATGACACTATTTTTCTTAAGTAAGTCTTTTTCTTTTAAATTTAATTTTTTCTTCTAGAGACAGGGTCTCACCCTGTTGCCCAGGCTGGAATTCAGTGGTATGATCCCAAACTCACTGGAGCCTCAAACTCTCGGGCTGAATTGATCTTCCTGCCTTAGCCTCTTGAATAGCTGGGACTCTAGGTGTGTTCCATGGTATCCAGCCTCCTAAGGAAATCTTTGAAACAAGTATTGTCCTTCTAGTAGTTAGGGTTAATAAAAAAAGTCTCCATCAGAGCACTAAACAGCTTTAGTAATATCTACGTCTAGCACTGCCTGAAATTTGGAGTGTTTATATAAATGAGTTGTTTAGACTGTTGAACTAATACTAATATTACCGTAACTTTCAGGAGAACTTACACATTGTGGGCTATTTTATGTTCTTTGTTCTACTTACAAGGAAAATTTACTCTGCATCTTTATTGAATAATATTTTGTATCATTGTAGTAAAATTCCTTTCTACTAAAAGCAATCAACACAGATTTAGAAAGATTAATATAGGAATGACTGTTAAGTATTAAGGCATCTTTGTTTTTTATACACACGCTGAAGCTCATACATCTGAGTCAGTGTTTCTCAACCATTTTTTATTTTTACCCTCTTCCCCAATCTGCTGCCCTGGAGCCATTGTAGACATTTGCTTTTCTAGTCATCCCCCCATGACATTTTAATACCACAGATATACTGCTTATCTGTTTATGTATGTATATCTGTGCTTTATATATAAAAAGAGAGGGTACAGAACTTACTCTTTTCATTCAGTACAGTGTTAATAATGACCAAATTAAATTAAAACTAAAGTTAAAACAAATTAAAATTTAGAAAGCTGTTACCATTAAACTTTATAACTATATTTTCTGAATAACTTAGTGCTGGGATTACAGGCATGAGCCAACTTGCCTGGCTGAATAACTTGTAATGTAATTTATTTGCACATATAGTAATATGTGTATAACATATAGTAATAAATCAATTATAGAAGCAAAATAGCAATTTATATAAATACATAAGAATAGCAGTGTAATTAAAATTTTTAATCATTCAAAACTTATTTTTCTAGCAAATATAAAATGATTGAAAAGTTACATTAATATCTTAAAATTTTTTAATGAAATTAACTTTTAACTTTTGCTTAATACAGGAAACACTTTTTTTTGTTTGTTTTTGAGTTGGAGTCTCACTCTGTCACCCAGGCTGGAGTGCAGTGGCATACTCACAGCCACTGCAGCCTCACCCTGCCTGCTGGGCTCAGGCGATCCTTCCACTTCAGCCTTCCAAGTAGCTGGAACTACAGGCGCACACCACCATACCCAGCGAATTAATATGGAAAACAATTTCAAGTAGGATATTAGTCATTCAGATATTATTGAAATTTTTTAGCACTTGGCATAATGGGCTGAATTACTCTTATAGAATTAAACAATAAAATATAAACTAGTTTTAATTAATTCTCCAAAAGAGCATTTAGGATCAAACCTAAACATCTGCAAGAGAGCCAGTGGTAGTTGGTAGGCATGTTGCAGGCCACCTCTTGCAAGATCAGTTGAAATTCCTCTAATCACAACCATCTACTCACCATTCTTTCATAGCATTGTTCTTGTGTACACTTGGTATATCTTCTGTGAACTCATGCTGCTTGTGTGATACCCAAGAAGTAAGACAGAGTTCTAGGGAATAAGCTTTTGTCCCATAAGATTGAGGTTTGGAGGGCCACAAACCATTATAATCTCCAAGAATTTTTTGCCCCTTTCTGAGCGATATCAATCACTGAGAATGGATGGTCTAAGTGAATGCTGTCCTTCAGAACAGTCATGTTCACTGGTTGTACTATAACAGCAAATATATTAATCAGAATATAATGTAAAGATTTCCTCAGGAAATACCCCACGTTTGGGTCATAGTACTTAATATTTGTCATTTTTTTTTCTTTTAAAATTGCTTTCCACTGTATTTACCAGTGTTTGCTCAGAGTCCTTTGCAAAAGTTAAATACATCCTCAAAGGACAATTGTTTGTCATAATTGAGGAGACAACAAAGAATGCAAACAGGCTCTGAGCAATAGTGTAGAAAGATCAATTAATTTGAAAGTCAGAAAACCAAGCTTAATCTATTCCTATAACAGGCTATGTGATCATGGGCAAGTATGTTAACCTGCTTGAACCTCATTTTACTTACCTTGGAAAGGTCAATTATGCCTACTTCCAAATATGATGGTAAGGATTAAAAAAGAGAAAATATGTGAAAGCAGTGTGTAAAGTATAAAGAGGTATATAGGTATTGGCCACTGCTATTTGTAGTATGTCTGTTAAATTCCATTCATGTTGCTGAGTAATTCTCTCTTATGCTTAAACAAAAACAGTAAATTGAAAATAGGAAAAAAAAGATGATAAATGCTTTAAAAGAATCGCGTTATATTCAGAAGATAGCAAAATACAAGCCTTATGAAAATTTAAATGATGCAGTGAGTTGGAAATAAGAAAACTTTAAAATCACTTATACTAACCTTCCATGAATAGTCACAACAGTTTGAACTGTTTTTCTAGTGTGAACTGTTTTAAAATGTGAAAATTCGAGTCAGTAGTCATTCCATGGCAATAACATTTTAAGTAAAATTGAATTGGTAGAAAATACAGATTTAGAAAATACAGATTACCAGTTATTGGAGGAAAGGAAAGCAAAATAGTAGGGTCTGAAATTTTTAAACTGAAAGTGTTGATTGATGTGAGTCTCCAGGGGCATGTCCAAAAAGAAAAACTGTGATCTCAGGTTAGAGCAAAGGAACAATTCAGGTTTTCTTCGCAGAACTGAGTATGTGACATTGGCAGGACATTCGAGAAAACACGTTTAAGAAAGATTTGTTTTTGCAATATCAGCTCTTATCCCCTGCCCCCGCTTTTCTTTTAATTCAGCATTTTAGTTTCTTCCTGGTTTCTTAAACCTTCTTCGCCCCCACATGGATTCACTGGAAGGTAGCACTGAAGGCATAATCTGTAAAATTGGAAGAAAGTTTGTCCAGTTTTAGTCCTGTAAGTTGTAGTAAACTCTGAGCATCCTTTATGACACTTGCCCCCAAGCTGACAAGTTTTTAAATAGATGAGTTTTGGTGAAGATCTGGACACAAAGAAATATATCTTGGGTCCTCCTTGTATCAAGCACAATTACATAATGCTATAAGTCAACCAAAGGGAACTATAAACAAGATATTCTAAGACAAAAGGAAGTGCAATAAAGATGATGAAATTCTGGATATTAGAGGGCTATAACAGAACCTAATGCTGCACCACAAAGGATAAGAAACCTTAACTCAGAGCACCTCTGACTCCAGAACCCCACTGCAATTCCAGCTGAAGCCACCCTTAAGAAATGGAATAGAATTGGGTGGTAAGCTGCTTAAGATGCAGCTAGAAAGTTTTAGAAGTCAGTCCATCTAATAGGAAACATTGTTAGACATACCCAAACCTTTATTAGGAATATCATTAGAATAAAGAAAACTGATTTCTTTTGGAGGACAAAAAAGTCTTGTATCTAGGTTTTTAATGTGCACATTAGGTAGATTTAATGTTTATAAAAAGGCTTTTGTAATTTACAGTTGCTCTGTAACTGAATAAAAGATCATATATATTAAAACATATCATCTGAGTCACTAGTTCTCACAGGGCAATTTTATAAATTTGGTAGACTTACAAGTGTTTTGAGTTGGTTTTTGTTGTTGTGTTTTTTGAGATGGGTGTCTTCACTGTTAACTGGGCTAGTCTCGAACACTTGGGCTCAAGGGATCTTACCACCTAAGCCTCCTGAATAACTGGGATTACAGGTGTGCACCACTGCACCCAGCTTTGAGTTGGCTTTTGACCAGTTTCTTAAAGTGTAATTAACAGTGTCTTGTGAAAACTGAATAAGAGCAACAGATACAACAGGCACTTTCATTCAAGGAAGTGGTGTTTTCTATTTGTTTAGGGGCAGCAGCAGTGTCATTAGCTTGTGGAATTCTTTGCTTGTTAGACTTTCCACAAAAAATCATTAGAAAACCACTTTACTAAATTAACTCTGCCCAGGCCAATTATCTTGAATGTGAAGGTAATACCAAGATCACAAGTTCAGTTTAGATGTGAATGGTGTTTATTCAGTAAAGGTAATGCCACTGGGAGTAAAGCTCCAGTTATTGGCCACAGACCTCATCTCTAACCTTTGTAAACTGTATCACAAAGATGTACTTAATCAGTAGGCTTGAAAGAAGCACTTGGGACCCTTCATCACTGCTTCTGAAAGCCAAACATAACTCGGTTTATAGATTAATCTCACTTGAAGGTTAGATTGGTAGTCATATTTGCATATGAATTGAACTCACAATAAAATTACTTTCAGCAATGTAAAAATATCAAAGTTTATTATGAGTTATCTTGTATCTGAGTTTTTAAATCTATCCTTTTCAAAAAATTAAATCATTTACCATAACTTACTGAGAGTAAATGCCAAGCACGTCTAAGTTGCAAGCACTCAAATGTTTATATTTTCAGGTTACCTGTTTCCCAAGAAATTAAAAATTATCTTTCAATACTAAGGAAATATACGAGTGAGCTGTCCAGTTACTATGATAAACCACACTATTTCTTCTTTTTGCCTTTAGTTGTCTTTCCACTCATCCCACATAGAAGTACAGATAACTTAAAGATGTGTACTTTTCTTTACTACAGGGTAGAGACTGAAGTTGGAGACTACATGTTCTGCTTTGACAATACATTCAGCACCATTTCTGAGAAAGTGATTTTCTTTGAATTAATCCTGGATAATATGGGAGAACAGGCACAAGAACAAGAAGATTGGAAGAAATACATTACTGGGACAGATATGTTGGATATGAAACTGGAAGACATTCTGGTCAGTATGGTCTTTCCATAAAATAATAAGTTACTAACATCCAGAGGCCTTACTATAGTAATGGGCATTGAACTGATCAGCATTTTATTTGTATTATCCAAGAAAATGTTTCTAGGATTTTCTTATCTTTGCCATAAATACTTTGATATCATTTCCTATCTCAGCTTTATTTTACCTTATATTCATATAGCCCTTTTATAGGTTTCAAATCACTTATCTCACTAGGACCCTATTATCAAAATGGCTTTTCTCAGAAGATGTGCAATTTAGAATGCATTTTGATAAGCTTGTTTTATAAATGTGATATTGGAACATTTTTTGTATTGTAAATACATTATGCTTTTGATTATATAGTATGCACATCTAAAAATAAAAGGTTTTCTAATTTCCTTACTACTTTGCGACATAAAACATTGGGTGTTTTGCTGTATACTAAATTGGTCAGACTAACATTAAAAGAAAAAATATCATAAACACAACAAATTATATAATGGGATTATATGTTACATAATACCTACAGTTATCATCAATGGGGTTTAATACACTAAATCATTTGCCAAGCACAGTGTCACATGCCTGTAGTCCTAGCTGCGGGGGTGGGGGTGGGGTGGGTAGGTAGGTAGGTAGGTGCTGAGGCTTGAGGCCAGTTTGAGGCTACAGTGAGCTGCGATCGTGCCTGTGAATAGCCACTGCACTCCAGCCTGGGCAGCATAGCAGGACCCTGTTTCTAAAAACATAATTTTTTTTTATGGTTGTGTGAGGGCTAAGAGAGAGATAATGTATGTAAAATTCCTGGTGCTGGGCCACTCAGATAGTTTCATATTAGCTATTTTCAATAAATAGTTTTGTTCCCTTATTAAATAACTATAAACAATAATTTATATCAGGAGAACTATTAATAGCCTTACAGAGAATGTTTAGGTAATATAAGTAGTACCTGTTCACTAATTGAATTGTAAACCTATCTTAAAATTATTTTGATAAAAAACATAAAGCACATTTTTAAATTAACTTAAAGTTGCTGAGCATTTTTTAGTAGTAAAATTATGTCCTTTATCTCCAGGAATCCATCAACAGCATCAAGTCCAGACTAAGCAAAAGTGGTCATATACAAACTGTGCTTAGAGCATTTGAAGCTCGTGATCGAAACATACAAGAAAGCAACTTTGATAGAGTCAATTTCTGGTCTATGGTTAATTTAGTGGTCATGGTGGTGGTGTCAGCCATTCAAGTTTATATGCTGAAGAATCTATTTGAAGATAAGAGGAAAAGTAGAACTTAAAACTCCAAGCTAAAGTACTTAACATTGAAAAAGCATAGCAGAAAAATGCAATAAACTGTTACAGTCAAGACCATTAATGGTTCTTTTCCAAAATATTTTCAGATATTATTGTGTGAAACAGGTATAATTTTAATGTGAAAGAAAAGTCTTTACTTTCTGTGCAAATAATTTTATTGATCCAGTTGTACTTCAGTGTATAGCAGGAATATTTTGCAGAATATGTTTAATTGGATGAAGCCATATGAAAACTACATTTTCCTAACTTTGAAAACATTTTGAAAATGTTATAGGTGACTTAAATAAATGAGCTTCAGGCCTAATTGGAACACCAAACAGTATGTTTTTACAAGGTTCTCTTACCCAGAATTTTCTTGATAAATGTGACAATTACAAATTATATAACTGTAGAAGTTTTTAATATATTAAGTTATAAATAATCTGAGAATTACCTAATTATGGATTAACTATATCTTTGAGAAAAGTTGAGCCTTGTCTTCTAATTTACATATGCATATCTCCTATAATGTAAGTAGAAGCATAGCTTTGAAATACAATTAGGTTTTTGAGATTTTTATAACCAAATAAGTCAATGTAAAATATTAGCAGAAAGTATTCTTTTTTTGTACTTAGCCTACATTCCCAAAAGCTGACATTTTGATGATTCTTAAAAATGCAAAGTTATAACTTCACTCATTAAAATTAGGACAAGTTTTCTCTTTGAAGAGAAGAATATAGTTAAAGTTTTCTTGGTCTCCATAAGGACACATTCTGTCTAAACCTTAGCTAAGGTAGAGGATTTTAAAATTAAATGTAAGATAAGTTTATTTTTATATTATATGTCAACAGTGTTATACAGTTTTAGCATGATTACTGACTTAGATAATACATTATGACTAGCATTTGTGAAGGAAATATTGCTAAAGGGATCTGGGCCTAGCATAAACAAATATCTCCTTTCCTGAGTTCTAAGAATTATCAGAAATAATAAAAAAGAATTTAGGGAAACTTGAGAATACTGATCCAAAATAAAGTTCACTTAAATGGAACTATAAATCTAAAATCTGATTGGCTCATCATGACATCCTAATTCTAATATAAATCAAAGGAGATTGATTGATTTCCAGTTAACTGGAAGAAACTGTACTTAGCCATGTGTTTTATTTTTTACAAGAATTGTTTTGAATTATCTTTTATAAGTATTCAGGTACATTTTATGAAATGTAAGCCCTACTGTAAGGTTTAGCACTGGAAGTACATATTTATTACAATGTTTATTATAACTTTTATAATACGGCCTTCCTGATCACTCTATTTATTGACATTGAAGTAAAAACTGGAAACACCAATTCCAAGTTCTAAACACCCAAAGGTGAATAACTATATCAAAAAGTCTCTACCACCCTGGCTTATTGAAATCTGTAGAGTTTTACTCAAGTACTAGTAATTTAACTTCATCATGAATGAAACAGTTTTAAAGTTACCCATTTGTAGTATTGTTTGTGACAAATATATTGTGAATTCGAAACCATCAACTTAAAATTTTGGATAGAGAACCCATCGATAGGTTAGTACTTCTGGAATTCTTGATAAGCAATAATTATAACCAGAGAGATAGATTCATTTACACTCAGAGTGGTACAGAAGGAAATATGTTTCCTTTGTTCTTTGGTCCTTGAGAGAGGAATAGAAGCTCAGATTTACTTATTCAGAGGCTTTTTTAAAATGAGGTGAATGCCATAAATGATCATGTATCTTAATTTGCCAAGAAAATGCTTCAGATGTCTCGGGAGTATCCCTTGTAACACTTGAAAAACAAGGATCAATAATACCATTGCTATTAAGAGCCCTCCTTTTTGCCCCTTCTGTTAAATTTGTAGTGAGATGCAAACTTACAGTACCATCAGTAATAAAGCAAGGTACACATATAAACTACTGCATCTTTTCTATAAAACTGTGATTAAGAATTCTACCTCTTATGTATGTATGGCTGTTACTGTACTGTACTCTGATTCCTGACCTAACACTGAATTTGTTACTTCACCTACATAATATGTTTTGTGCCACTGACTTAATCCTATGATTCAGTAGCTTAACATATAAAAAACAATGGCTTTATTGGGAAAACAAAGAGTTTAGGAATATTAAGGATAATTTTATTTTTATAGACAAAAAGTGAAATATTTAAGAATTACCTGTATTAATCAAAAAAGTAAAATTTGTAAACAAATAAAAAATCTTTAATATTTCTAAAAGCATACTGTTTCTTTTTTTTAAGTCTCTATTCCATTTCTGAATTAAAATTATGCTAGAATTGAATAAGTTGTCACTTAACAGCTAATTTGTCTTTGGTTTTTAATTATGTAAGCTTTTTAAATACGACAATATTTAATTAAGGCCTAGAGCTAGCTCTTATTTGCATTTAGATGATTGAATGTCAAGACATGGAGGGTAAATAAGTGTTTGAAAAACAGCACTGAGATAAATTACAAGTTGAAATGTAATTGTATGGTAAGTATACTTACTGTTTTAAACATGATGTCTTATAATTGTCAAAAACTGAGTACCTATGACTGTATGCCTCCTCAAATGAAAATTCTTCATCTGAAATTTTAGAAGAAATTGATTAAGCATGTAATGATTTTTCATCCGGAGTATAATGCACAAATTGGTTTATACTTGTGAACAGCCACCTTGAAAAAGCAGTGTATCATGAATACTGAGCTTAGTATATATAATAAAAATTACTATTAAAGAAATATCCCTACCATCATTGTAAATGTTTTCTACTCCTTAATGCCTTCCTGAATCTCATAGCTTTCTGCACCTCTTATTATACATAATTCTACTTCACACTGGAATTCTGTTTATATATGTACTGATTCGTCTGTTGCTTAAACATACATTGCACATAAAAAGCACTCAAAATATGCAGAAGCAAAGATCATCAGTTCTTAAAGTTTGGAAGGCTAATATGGAACTTGTTCTACTCCTCTGTCCAGCCCCAGAAATTCTTTTTTTTTGTTGTTTTGAGTTGGAGTCTCACTCTGTTGCCCAGACTGGAGTGCAGTGGCCGGGAGCGGCCACTGCAGCCTCGACCTGCTAGGCTCCGGCAATCCTTCCACCTCAGCCTTCCAAGTAGCTGGAACTAATTTTTTGTAGCGATGAGGTCTCACCAAGTTGCCCAGGTGGGTCTCAAACCCGCGGGCTCAGGCAATCCACTCACCTCAGTTTCCCAAGGCGCGGGATTACAGGCTGAGGCCACTGGGCCTGGCTAGAAATTGATTCTTTAGGGGAAGAATATGGCTCAGGAATCTTAAGTTTTGGACCATTTGCTAGATATATAAGAAACTACAATGCTTGATGTAGGTTGGCGTATGGTCACTTCTTTCAAACCATCTACACAAGCCACTATTCCCTCACAAGTTTTAAGTGGAAATTATGATCAAATGTTGTAAAGGGGATTATTTCTACTTTCAATATAAAGGGATGATGGACTAAATGTAACCTTTCTACAGTTGATTTCAATTCTAAAAGGACTATTGCCATTTGTGGGGAAAAGCCAAAAGAAAAGATCAGAACTTCAAAAGATAACCTTCAGAGTTGATCAGCCAGGACACAAGAGAAATTGGGCTGGTGACTTATAAGATAGAGCCACTCTGGAAAATATTCTTGACAATTTCTTATAAAAACTAAACATGTACTTAATGTACAACTCAGCATTTGTACTCCAGAACATTTATCCCTGACATGAAAGCTTATTTTCAAATAATAATCTGAACACATGTAGAGAGCAGCTTCATCTCTAACAGCCAAAAACTGGGAACCACCAAAAAGTTTACATGCTATATGATTGTTTATGTAACATTCTTGAAAGAACAAAAGCTATAGAGACAGGAAGCAGATCAGTAGTTGCCAGACGTTAGGGATGAAGGGAAGGAGAAGGTAGCCATAAAGGGAGCCCTGTGGTAGAACAGTTTGATTTTGATTGGGATGGTTACACAAATACATGTGTGAAATGTAGGAGAGAAGTATTTCATAGGTAAAACAGTCATTAATGTGTTGCAATATATGTATTTCTGACTGAGTAAATAAATTTAACTTCATAATAAAACCAAAATAATCTTAGTGAAAAACTATCATTTTGGGGTACTAGTTCAGTCTTCTAAGATTTCAGTTATTATAAGGTGAAGTAACTATTCTTCAGGTTGCTTAAGAAATTGAGCCTCAGCCACCCCCTCGGTCCCCTCCAACTGTGGGAGCTTTTCTGTTCTCTCAATAAATCCTGCTTTCTCAGCAAAAAAAA